CTTCAAACATAAATAAATTTTAATGATAGATAAAATGTATATTGTGAAATTTTGAAAATTAGTGCAACTTATAATCCCACTATTATTCTTCACTTTTTAAAGCGTTCCATCTCTGTCAGTCACAAAACTAAAATTAAAGATCCAGTCCAGTTGTCCAAACATATGGTTTTTCACCAACTACTAAAAGACAAATTTATCACATTAAAATCATATGATTTTTAACGTATACATAAGTATAACCATTAATACAAAAATATGTAGTTTTCCAATATTTTGGAGATATTCTTCTCAGTTCCTTTTAATATTTTTCATATGACTCACATAAATCCAGTGAGATCCCAAACGCAACAAAATCAAAGGACTCAATTTACTTTTTCCCCTGAAACCACAATCAGTGAAATCTCAATATATATTCCAAAAATAATTTTGAAATACCAGCAATGACAGTAGTTAACAGCTGCAGCCGCCCAGCAAAGGATAAAGACGATAAATTCAATTTGTGGAAAGTTTCTTTGGAAAGGGCATCTAGAGGGTAAAGCTACAGCAAGGGTTTCTTGGGACTCAGTTACAAAGCCTAAAGAAGAAGGAGGTCTAGGAATCAAGAACTTATCTGTTTGGAATACGGCTTGTGCTATCAAACTTATATGGCTTTTGTTCTTTAACCAAAGCTCAATTTGGTCCACTTGGTATATCTATGAAGTCCTGGAGGGCAATATAAACAATTTCTGGGTTATCAACACTAAACAAAAGAACTCTTGGTTGGCAAATGAACTGATTAAGCTCAGAGATTTGGCTTACGGTTGGATAAAGCTAGTGGTTGGCAATGGAGAATGTTGTTACTTCTGGTCAAGCAACTGGTCACCTTTTGGCAGGATCTCTGACTATCTAGCTCTGGAGTCGTCGACACAATTGGGAATTCCTCATAACTTCACATTAGCAGAACTATGGTGTCATGATCATTGGACCCTCCCTCCAGCAAGATCTGATAGGCAAGTCGCCATCCAAAGCTTTATCAGCACTATCACCCTATCAGACAATGCTGACCATTACGAATGGTGGCCTGACAATGTGAAAAAAAAAGAGATACAACGCTAGTGATATCTACCTTTTGCTGCGATACAACGTGAAGTTTGGTTTTCTGGTGGAATCCCTCGTTAAAAGTTCCTTACTTGGTTAATGGTGCTAAACAGATCCCCAACTCGCGATAGATTGATCTCTTGGGGCCTTCAAACGCCTTCAATTTGCCTTCTCTGTAACTCTCAGCCTGAATCCAGGTCTCATCTCTTCTTTGACTGCTCTTTCTCTTGGCTAACTTGGAGTCCCTTAGCTTCGAAATTCCTGCAAAGTCCGACACGGAATTGGGATTCTTTACTTCTACAGCTCCGACATTTTGTCGGTCCGAAACCGAAGCGGAAGGTTCTCCTAATCCTTTGGCAGTCTACGATCTACAATCTGTGGTCAGAAAGAAACAATCGCTATCACAGAAACTCTTTTAAATCCTCAAGGGTCATCCGTAAAGATATTGATTTGCAAATTAGAAACAGAATTTCCAGTCTTAGGAAACACCAACCTGCGATTGCATCTGAGATGATGCAGATCTGGTTTTCTACATGATCAATTATCGATAATTGTGATACCTTGCTCTACTGCCACATCTGCCTTCCATGGTTTCCTTCATTTGCGACAATTTCGTACCTTTGGCTTTCAAGCTTCCGCCTCTTTTTTTCCTGATTCAAGGAAAACACAAAATGGGTTGTGGGCCTCGTCTTCTTAAATTTCTTGGGCTGATTTATTCAGTTAAGGTTCTTTATGTAATTTCAGGTATTAAAACATTAGGCTACTTAGCCACTAAGCCAATGGGCTTTGTAATTTTTCTTTCCTATGTTTTTTAATAGAATGCCTTTTAGCAAAAAAAAAAAAAATAAATAATCCCGCAATGAAAATTTTGGGTTCTAATTAATTTAATATATTAAAACTCACCACGACCAAGAAACTTCAAAATACATTTGATTGAGCCATGTTTGCATTGAAACGCAATTGGCATATACTACCCTAAACCTTTAGATTGCTACTAAAAATAGCACGATTTATTAGCAAGATTTATCGGAAAAACTGTCTATTTTCCCACGAAAACTATGGCATATGCATATATGTCCACCAAACTTTACCCTCTTCACAGAACTTCCTCAGGCGAAACTTAAATGTGTATATATCATCCAAAAGAAAGTTAAATGCATATTTCCCCACGAATTTAAAATTTCATGCTTATTTACACATAAAGATGGTTTACTATTTGGTTTACTATTTTGAAATCATCATTTAACCATTGTAAACCTTCTTAACCGGATTAAAACTGAATTATGACCCTATTTTGAAATCACCCACACAGAAGTATGTACGAAGCAGTCGAACACACATCACTTTCTCCATCCATTTCTCAGCTTGGATCTTCGCAAAACGTGTCTCACTATGTTGCTTTGTCAATATACTCATGTGCTTATCCATCACCTGCGAAAAAAAAAAAACCATTTCTTGTTTATAGTAGCTAAGGAACAAGAAAGCACCACTTTTGGAGAAACGAATTTCTCTCCTTAACATCTCTTATCAAAAGATCATACATGAACT